CTATAGACTAGACTATAGACTGACTATAGACTAGACTATAGACTAGACTATAGACTAGACTATAGACTAGACTATAGACTAGACTATAGACTAACCTATAGACTAGACTATAGACTAAACTATAACTAGACTATAGACTAGACTATATACTAGACTATAGACTAGACTATAGACTAGACTATAGACTAGACTATAGACTAGACTTAACTAGACTATAGACTAGACTATAGACTAGACTATAGACTAGACTATAGACTACAAGAGACTATAGACTAGACTATAGACTAGACTATAGACTAGACTATAGACTATAGACTATAGACTAGACTATAGACTAGACTATAGACTAGACTATAGACTAGACTATAGACTAGACTAGACTAAACTACGACAGACTAAACTAAACTAGACGACTATAGATTAGACTATTGACTAACTATAGATAGACTATAGACTAGACTATAGACTAGACTATAGACAAGACTATAGACTAGACTATAGACTAGACTATAGACAGAGACTATAGACTAGACTATAGACTAGACTATAGACAAGACTATAGACTAGACTATAGACAAGACTATAGACAAGACTATAGACTAGACTGTAGACTAGACTAGACTATAGACAGACTACAGACTAGACTATAGACTAGACTATAGACTAGACTATAGACTAGACTATAGACTAGACTATAGACTAGACTATAGACTAGACTATAGACTAGACTATAGACTAGACTATAGACTAGACTATAGACTAGACTATAGACTAGACTATAGACTAGACTATAGACTAGACTATAGACTAGACTATAGACTAGACTATAGACAGACTATAGACTAGACTATAGACTAGACTATAGACTAGACTATAGACTAGACTATAGACTAGACTATAGACTAGACTATAGACTAGACTATAGACTAGACTATAGACTAGACTATAGACTAGACTAGACTAGACTAGACTATAGACTAGACTATAGACTAGACTATAGACTAGACTATAGACTAGACTATAGACTAGACTACTAGACTAGACTATAGACTAGACTACTAGACTAGACTATAGACTAGTCTATAGACTAGACTATAGACTAGACTATAGACTAGACTATAGACTAGACTATAGTCTAGACTATAGACTAGACTATAGACTAGTCTATAGACTAGACTATAGACTAGACTATAGACTAGACTATAGACTAGACTATAGACTAGACTATAGACTAGACTATAGACTAGACTATAGACTAGACTATAGACTAGACTATAGACTAGACTATAGACTAGACTATAGACAAGACTATAGACTAGACTATAAACTAGACTACACTATGGACTTCACTATGGACTACACTGTAGACTACACTGTGGACTACACTATAGACTACACTATAGACTAGACTATAGACTTGACTAAAGACTAGACTATAGACTAAACAATAGACTACACTGCAGACTAGACTATAGACTACGCTATAGACTACACTATAGACTATACTACAGACTAGATTATAGACTACACTATTGACTAAACTATAGACTACACTATAGAATGCACTATATATTACACTATAGACCATACATTTTAATCTTACCACCCTAATTTATGTTTGTTTGTTGTCATTGTTGTTATTTTTCTATTGTTGTTGTAGTTGTTGGTGTTTGGTATTTGGTGGCTGTACCACAATCATGTATACTTGTAGACTGTTTGTGTTTATGTATGAACTTATTTGTTTATTTCATGGTTTATTTTGACTATTTATGTTTAAGTTTGTAACTGTGTTATTTTGTTGTAGGTTTTGTCTATCCTTGTCTATGTATGTGTGTATTTGTCAGTTTGAGAAAGTGTATCTGTGTGAATGTTTATTTAAAGCTAGTTTGTGGGGTCATGCATGAGTGCACACTGTGGTAAAATTTTCTTTCATAAAGAGCCTCAACAGCATCAGTAATAACAAGCACAAAGTATCCATACATATAAAACCATACAATTATTAATAAACGAGGGCAGTATTCGAAGGTTTGTTTAAGAAATCTTATATTTGACAAAGGTTTTTTCAGTTCCTCCAACCCCTCCAATTCAATATTTTAATTAATGTATTTTGCATCAATAATCTTTATTTTTACCGAAGTTATTTTATTCATTCTAAGTAATTTATTTACATTTGTAGAAAAACCTACTTCTGATTCTGCCTTCGTTATAAACTTGTACAAAATTTTTCAAATTAAGTTAACAAGACTAATTTTTGGCATGCTTTTTGATTTTGTTGATCATTATTGTTGGGGTTTTTCGTGTCTGTGTCCTCGTACTACTTCCCCCTCCTCACAAAATTTTCAACTTTGTCTCCTTACTGGTGTTTGTTGTTTGGTATTCAGTTAACAGATACAATTTCATAGTTGTTTTGTTTTTTCTCAAAATTGTTTCTTTTTGCTTCTGTTGTTTGTTGTTAACCTTTCATATGGAAAATTTCTGTTAAACATTAAATTTTAATGGAATAATTTAATTATTGAAAATGAATATCTTTAGTGAAATACACAAAGTGCCGAAGCTATATAGACGGGGGAGGGGCAGTTATGAGGCAGACAACAATAACTTAAATCCCATGAAATTATGAGTAAATGAATGCGTCTTTTTTATTGTTAAATAATCGCTGATTTACGTAATTTAAGACTTCAATTTCATAAATTTAATTTACTAAAAGTCTAGTCAGTTCTAGTTCAGTTCTAGTTCAGTTCTAGTTCAGTTCTAGTTCAGTTCTAGTTCAGTTCTAGTTCAGTTCTAGTTCAGTTCTAGTTCAGTTCTAGTTCAGTTCTAGTTCAGTTCTAGTGTCAGTTCTAGTTCAGTTCTAGTTCAGTTCTAGTTCAGTTCTAGTTCAGTTCTAGTTCAGTTCTAGTTCTAGTTCTAGTTCAGTTCTAGTTCCATTCTAGTTCAGTTCAGTTCTAGTTCAGTTCTAGTTCAGTTCTAGTTCAGTTCTAGTTCAGTTCTAGTTCAGTTCTAGTTCAGTTCTAGTTCAGTTCTAGTTCAGTTCTAGTTCAGTTCTAGTTCAGTTCTAGTTCAGTTCTAGTTTCAGTTCTAGTTCAGTTCTAGTTCAGTTCAGTTCTAGTTCAGTTCAGTTCTAGTTCAGTTCAGTTCTAGTTCAGTTCAGTTCTAGTTCAGTTCTAGTTCAGTTCTAGTTCAGTTCTAGTTCAGTTCTAGTTCAGTTCTAGTTCAGTTCTAGTTCAGTTCTAGTTCAGTTCTAGTTCAGTTCTAGTTCAGTTCTAGTTCAGTTCTAGTTCAGTTCTAGTTCAGTTCTAGTTCAGTTCTAGTTCAGTTCTAGTTCAGTTCTAGTTCAGTTCTAGTTCAGTTCTAGTTCAGTTCTAGTTCAGTTCTAGTTCAGTTCTAGTTCAGTTCTAGTTCAGTTTCTAGTTCAGTTCTAGTTCAGTCTAGTTCAGTTTCAGTTCTAGTTCTAGTTCGTCTAGTTCAGTTCTAGTTCAGTTCTAGTTCAGTTCTCGTTCATTCTAGTTCAGTTCTAGTTCAGTTCTAGTTCAGTTCTAGTTCAGTTCTAGTTCAAGTTCTAGTTCAGGTTCTCGTTCAGTTCTAGTTCATTCTAGTTCTCCTAGTTCAGTTCTAGTCAGTTCTAGTTCAGTTCTAGGTTCAGTTCTAGTTCAGTTCTAGTTCAGTTTCTAGTTTCAGTTTCTAGTTCCAGTTCTAGTTCAGTTCTAGTTTCCAGTTCTAGTTCAGTCTAGTTCAGTTCTAGTTCAGTTCTAGTTCAGTTCTAGTTCAGTTCTAGTTCAGTTCTAGTTCAGTTCTAGTTCAGTTCTAGTTCAGTTCTAGTTCGTTCTAGTTCAGTTCTAGTTCAGTTCTAGTTCAGTTCTAGTTCAGTTCTAGTTCAGTTCTAGTTCAGTTCTAGTTCAGTTCTAGTTCAGTTCTAGTTTCAGTTCTAGGTCTATTTCAGTTCTATTTCAGTTCTAGTTCAGTTCTAGTTCAGTTCTAGTTCAGTTCTAGTTCAGTTCTAGTTCAGTCTAGTTCAGTTCTAGTTCAGTTCTAGTTCAGTTCTAGTTCAGTTCTAGTTCAGTTCTAGTTCAGTTCTAGTTCGTTCTAGTTCAGTTCTAGTTCAGTTCTAGTTCAGTTTCTAGTTCAGTTCTAGTTCATTTCTAGTTCAGTTTCTAGTTCAGTTCTAGTTCAGTTCTAGTTCAGTTCTAGTTCAGTTCTAGTTCAGTTCTAGTCAGTTCTAGTTCCGTTCAGTCAGTGCTGGTTCCTGTTCAGTTCTAGGTTCCGATATGTAAAAATGAGAAATTTGAAAATTGCAAAAGAAGTGGCTATGTTGAGATTTTTTTTATGTTTTGAAACTATTTAATTCGTGTACATGCATATGTATATGTTAATTCTCTAAACATCCTTACCCTCGCAAACAAATTTTATTGCCTAAAGATTAAATTCCAGCTGGGTAGATTTGTTATAAATTATTTTGTTATTATTGAATTTATTTGTAAATTATACATCTCTTATAAATAATAATAAAAATAGAGAGAATTTTTTAAATGTATACGATTTACTTATTTCCATATTTGTTATACCCTACAACATGTGCTGCGCTTTTAGCAGATAAAATATTGGTCATATAATCAGTTTCAAATACATCAAGTCCGTCCATCTGGCTAGCTGAACATATTATTGTGATCAAGAGAGTGATGGCTATTTTTAAGGTAATTTTTTAAGTTTTTTTACCGGACCTCCCCAAATAAGTTTTTGAAGATAATAATTAAAATAAATATTCTAAAATCTCTACAAACATTGACATAACAAAGTTTTTTTAATTAATACTGCCGATTTACTCTTAACCGGTGTAGGGTTTTATATGGTCGAACATGCCCGAATATACATTCTGAATTGTTTTTGTTTAATAAGTTTTTGTTTATATTTCGAAAGCAAAGACTATATTAGACTGATAACACTCAGTGACCTGAATACAAAAAAAAAAAAGAAAATACGATTTTGAATTTGAATGCGTTTCAGCAAGACTCAGTCATTCTTTAGACTAACCTAGACCAAGTTGTATTTTATTAATAAAAAAATAGAAACAAAATGAAGAAATTTGTATTAATACTTTTAATAGGCGCTATTGTGATAAGGAATGTAAAGGTAAGTTTGATATATATAGGAAATTCAGAAAATAACTAAATATTGCCAATTTTTAGCTTGCTGAAGCCAAGGAAGTAAAACTAACCTCTAAGGATTTCCAAAAAGAGTTTTTGCATAAAGTCAGTGAAACCATGAAATCTACAGCCATGGATTATTTAAACAACTATCTTAAGGGCATAAAAAAACCAGCTCATGTGCACGAAGATTTCAATGCTGAACTTAAAATGGCTTTGGAGTCATCTAGACTAGAACCTAAAGTTGTCTTCATCAAACAATATTTGGATATGTTAGAGAATAAGGATACTAATCGTGAAAATATATATGGTTTGAAAAATGTCATGTTTCTCAAGAAACTCAAGGACAAATTCTATCATTTGCAAGAAGAAAGTTTTGAAGAAATACATCAATTGCGTTATTACTATCTCTGTAAAACAGTTTAAAGTACAAAAAGAGGCTACCACCCCTTTGTACCACAACTATTATTCCAAGACCACTCAGCTAGTGCCCATAAATGAGCACAATGTGGGCTCTATGCTGCATAAATTGGGTGCGAAAGATAATCACACCATTTCCATTAATATCTCTGACTTTGGCAAAGAATTATATCAAAAAGTAAACGATGCTGGCTGTGATGTCATCAATGATTATTTGATTATATTACGCAAACTTTTGCAAGAGGTTTTAGAGCCTGAATCGGAAGAAGAATCAACCGCACATTCCGAGTCTCTACGCAAGATCCTAATAGAAATAAATGCTCTACTGCAAACCACCGATTTCTATACCAAACGTCAAAGACTCTATGATTATCTACAAAACAATCTAGCTTTGGATTACGAGCAATTTCAAAGTTCTGAGACATCACAACATGATCTTATGGCGGTATTTAACAAACTTAAAGAAAAAGGTCTAGACCTAGTGGTGGCCTTTTTATTTAGTAATTTTGAATTTGTAGACTATCTACAAGATCAATGGCAAGAGCTTTTACCCCAGGCACCCATTTCACTGTATGATGCCCACTCACGTCCGCTAAAACAGATTCAACAATTATATGCGGAATTTAAACAGGATTTTGAAAATTCATCAAAATATGATTCTTATTTAGAAGCTGTAAAATTGTTGCATGAACAGACACAGCGGGAAAATGCTGACAATACGCATATTTATGAGATGCTTTATAGTGCTTCACAGAATGTGGGCAGTAGTCGGGCAACATTAATGAATTCAAAATGTAATGAAATTTAAATTAGTGGTTGTGGCTTTATACCATGCTTGTATATAAGTGTATATGTATGTATGTCTGCGTACTGCAAAGGAAGGGCAGAGTGTGTCAGTGTTTGAGAGGGTTTTTGTTATAAAATTGTATGTGTTTAAGTGTCTGTGGTTTGTATATTTGATGTTGTAAAACTACATTAAACATGCAGTTTGAAGTTGTTCAAATGCATGTGATTTATTAATATGAAATTTAAATTTAGAACACAATAAAGTTTCATTAATACAAATAAAAATTTAAAATTTTTACCCGTTACCTTTCTTAAGACTCTTAACAGAACGCGAATAGTCTATTCTATAGTCTAGTCTAAAGTCTAGTCTAAAGTCTAGTCTATAGTCTAGTCTAGAGTCTAGTCTATAGTCTAGTCTATAGTATAGTCTACAGTCTAGTCTATAGTCTAGTCTATAGTCTAGTCTATAGTCTAGTCTATAGTCTAGTCTATAGTCTAGTCTATAGTCTAGTCTATAGTCTAGTCTATAGTCTAGTCTATAGTCTAGTCTATAGTCTAGTCTATAGTCTAGTCTATAGTCTAGTCTATAGTCTATAGTCTAGTCTAAACTCTAGTCTAAAGTCTAGTCTATAGTCAAGTCTATAGTCTAGTCTAGAGTCTAGTCTATAGTCTAGTCTAGAGTCTAGTCTATAGTCTAGTCTAGAGTCTAGTCTATAGTCTAGTCTATAGTCTAGTCTATAGTCTAGTCTATAGTCTAGTCTATAGTCTAGTCTATAGTCTAGTCTATAGTCTAGTCTATAGTCTAGTCTAAACTCTAGTCTAAAGTATAGTCTATAGTCAAGTCTATAGTCTAGTCTATAGTCTAGTCTATAGTCTAGTCTATAGTCTAGTCTATAGTCTAGTCTATAGTCTAGTCTATAGTCTAGTCTATAGTCTAGTCTATAGTCTAGTCTATAGTCTAGTCTATAGTCTAGTCTATAGTCTAGTCTATAGTCTAGTCTATAGTCTAGTCTATAGTCTAGTCTATAGTCTAGTCTATAGTCTAGTCTATAGTCTAGTCTATAGTCTAGTCTATAGTCTAGTCTATAGTCTAGTCTATAGTCTAGTCTATAGTCTAGTCTATAGTCTAGTCTATAGTCTAGTCTATAGTCTAGTCTATAGTCTAGTCTATAGTCTAGTCTATAGTCTAGTCTATAGTCTAGTCTATAGTCTAGTCTATAGTCTAGTCTATAGTCTAGTCTATAGTCTAGTCTATAGTCTAGTCTATAGTCTAGTCTATAGTCTAGTCTATAGTCTAGTCTATAGTCTAGTCTATAGTCTAGTCTATAGTCTAGTCTAAAGTCTAGTCTATAGTCTAGTCTATAGTCTAGTCTAAACTCTAGTCTATAGTCTAGTCTATAGTCAGTCTATGTAGTCTAACTCTAGTCTATAGTCTAGTCTATAGTCTAGTCTATAGTCTAGTCTATAGTCTAGTCTATAGTCTAGTCTATAGTCTAGTCTATAGTCTAGGTCTATAGTCTAGTCTATAGTCTAGTCTATAGTCTAGTCTATAGTCTAGTCTATAGTCTAGTCTATAGTCTAGTCTATAGTCTAGTCTATAGTCTAGTCTATAGTCTAGTCTATAGCCTAGTCTATAGTCTAGTCTATAGTCTAGTCTATAGTCTAGTCTATAGTCTAGTCTATAGTCTAGTCTATAGTCTAGTCTAAGTCTAGTCTATAGTCTAGTCTATAGTCTAGTCTATAGTCTAGTCTATAGTCTAGTCTATAGTCTAGTCTATAGTCTAGTCTATAGTCTAGTCTATAGTCTAGTCTATAGCTAGTCTATAGTCTAGTTATAGTCTAGTCTATAGTCTAGTCTATAGTCTAGTCTATAGTCTAGTCTATAGTCTAGTCTATAGTCTAGTCTATAGTCTAGTCTATAGTCTAGTCTATAGTCTAGTCTATAGTCTAGTCTATAGTCTAGTCTATAGTCTAGTCTATAGTCTAGTCTATAGTCTAGTCTATAGTCTAGTCTATAGTCTAGTCTATAGTCTAGTCTATAGTCTAGTCTATAGTCTAGTCTATAGTCTAGTCTATAGTCTATTCTATAGTCTAGTCTATAGTCTAGTCTATAGTCTAGTCTATAGTCTAGTCTAGTAGTCTAGTCTATAGTCTATAGTCTAGTCTATAGTCTAGTCTATAGTCTAGTCTGTAGTCCTAGTCCTATAGTCTAGTCTATCGTCTAGTCTATAGTCTAGTCTATAGTCTAGTCTATAGTCTAGTCTATAGTCTAGTCTATAGTAGTCTTAGTCTAGCTAGTCTAGTCTATAGTCTAGTCTATAGTCTAGTCTATAGTCTAGTCTATAGTCTAGTCTATAGTCTAGTCTATAGTCTAGTCTATAGTCTAGTCTATAGTCTAGTCTATAGTCTAGTCTATAGTCTAGTCTATAGTCTAGTCTATAGTCTAGTCTATAGTCTAGTCTAGTCTAGTCTATAGTCTAGTCTATAGTCTAGTCTATAGTCTAGTCTATAGTCCTAGTCTATAGTCTAGTCTATAGTCTAGTCTATAGTCTAGTCTATAGTCTAGTCTATACGTCTAGTCATAGTCTAGTCTATAGTCTAGTCTATAGTCTAGTCTATAGTCTAGTCTATAGTCTAGTCTATTGAGCTTAGTCTAGTCTATAGTCTAGTCTATCGTCTAGTCTATAGTCTAGTCTATAGTCTAGTCTATAGTCTAGTCTATAGTCTAGTCTATAGTCTAGTCTATAGTCTAGTCTATAGTCTAGTCTATAGTCTAGTCTATAGTCTAGTCTATAGTCTAGTCTATAGTCTAGTCTAGTCTAGTCTATAGTCTAGTCTATAGTCTAGTCTATAGTCTAGTCTATAGTCTAGTCTATAGTCTAGTCTATCGTCTAGTCTATAGTCTAGTCTATAGTCTAGTCTATAGTCTAGTCTATAGTCTAGTCTATAGTCTAGTCTATAGTCTAGTCTATAGTCTAGTCTATAGTCTAGTCTATAGTCTAGTCTGTAGTCTAGTCTGTAGTCTAGTCTATAGTCTAGTCTATAGTCTAGTTTATAGTCTAGTCTGTAGTCTAGTCTGTAGTCTAGTCTATAGTCTAGTCTATAGTCTAGTCTATAGTCTAGTCTATAGACTAGACTATAGACTCCCCGTCCCCCCGGGGTGGGACGGGGAGGTATTCGTGGGGCCACTAGTTGATAGTGTACTATCACTACGTCCTATAAAAAAAAAAAAAAAAAGTCTAGTCTATAGTCTAGTCTATAGTCTAGTCTATAGTCTAGTCTATAATCTATTCTATAGTCTAGTCTATAGTCTAATCTATAGTGTAATCTACAGTCTAGTCTATAATCTAGTCTACAGGAGTTATTTCTCCTTGGTCTCTTCTATCTTTTACGCAGTTTGCTTTGCAGTTTTTCGCCTTCAGTCAATCCACATTTATCTCAATTAACTTAAGTTTCTTTGAAACTAACTTACTCTTTAAAGACAATTTAAATTTTTCTTCAATTTGACCCCATTGTAATACCCCTGCTGGTTTTCCTGTTTCCACCCTCCCAATTACGAAAACATAAAATACAAACTGACGTTTTAATTGTTAAATTGGCATTGTTAGAATAACATTGTTGGAAAAATGCCTACAACAATAGAAAAATTCACACAAAACAAACATTTTAACCATTGAAACAAATCCTTTTCTATCAATCTGTGTTTTTGCATGCTGATTTGTTTTATTCATTGTTAACAACAACAGCAACAACAACAATAGGAAAAGCGATCATTGTTTTGTTGTTGAAATTAAATGCTTGTTGGCTTTTAAGTGAAATAAAGAGCACTTTACCAACAAAAATAACTGCAATAGGAGAAAGTAGTGAAATAAAACAACACAGGTAAGCAGGATTTAGAAAAAAATCTAAAACAAGGGAACAATACAAACATTCTAGAATAATCATACATACATATACCTTCAATATAGTTTAATCCTGCAGTTTTGAATCTGATAAAAATTGAATTATTTCCGAAATATTTGATTACTGGTTTAAATTTTTATTGATTTAACATTAAAAATACAATATTGTATCTAAGTAAACTGGCGTAGTTTTACTTATTTAGATTTCACTTTACTAAAATACTAAACATATAATTAAATTATAATGCTTATATAGCTAAATCTGCAATCCAAACTGATTGCTGAAAACACTAGTTGGGAATAATCCTCTGGAACTGCTGAGGCAACATTTAGCAACAATAGAAAACATTCTGTTTACACACAATTATTTGTAGCTCTGTCTGTTGTAGTATTTTTCTATATGTGTATATATATATAAATGAATGGGTGAGTGTATGTATATAATGCCAACAATACCCAAGTGGTTAACAGCAAATAACAATGACAGCAATAGTATGCAGTAGCAGCAACAACTTTAGCAAAAACATCATCAGGCGGTATTAACATTTAGTATAAACCTTTTTTTTTTTTGTAATTCTGCCTTATTGATTGTAATGGATTTTTCTCTCCTCTACAATCCTATTTGTCCTATTCTTTTTTCTCCCCTTTTTTTCTTCCATTTACATTTATTTGTTTATTGTTACTTTTAAACTGTTTTGTTAACAATTTCAATTCTATTGCTGCTTTGTAAATAGAAACCTTTATTTTCTTTCTAGACTAACAGAGATTTTTGTGGGCATTGTTTTTTTATGTTTCGGAAGAGGTTAACAAACTTGTAAAGTATATTGTTGTTAGGACTTCTTAATTGGTTAGAGGAAACTGTAATTGTAGGCCAATTAACTAAAGTGATAATAATGATGCTATAATGTTAATAAAATAAGAGGAATAAATAAATACGAAAAAATAGACAGAACAATTGTTAGCATATTAAAACTGAACTAGAACTGAACTAGAACTGAACTAGAACTGAACTAGAACTGAACTAGAACTGAACTAGAACTGAACTAGAACTGAACTAGAACTGAACTAGAACTGAACTAGAACTGAACTAGAACTGAACTAGAACTGAACTAGAACTGAACTAGAACTGAACTAGAACTAGAACTGAACTAGAACTAGAACTGAACTAGAACTGAACTAGAACTGAACTAGAACTGAACTAGAACTGAACTAGAACTGCATACTATTGAACTAGCATGAACTAGAACTGAACTAGAACTGAACTAGAACTGAACTAGAACTGAACTAGAACTGAACTAGAACTGAACTAGAACTGAACTAGAACTGAACTAGAACTGAACTAGAACTGAACTAGAACTGAACTAGAACTGAACTAGAACTGAAC